CTTTTATGAATAAATCATCAAGTTAATAACAATTTTTAATGATGTTAAAATTTTATTTCAATTAACAATTTAAATGATTTTATTATTATATAGGAGAATAGTTAGAAATTTTATTTTTTCAGTTAATTCTGTTAAATAAAAAATTCTGACAATGAGGTATTTATAATTTTTCAAATTATAAGGGACAATTCATATTTTAAGCAAATCTCAAAGAGTGTATTTGTAATTCATCCTTAATAAAATTATCTTATGACTTGTCAATGGGACCTTGTGGAATTTTGAAAAAATGGAGCCTTTTATCATGTGAGGCCTAAAGTGTAAACTTTAATGGCTTTAGCTTTAAGTCAGATCTGCCTATGTACCTTTCAAATTCTCCGATATTAAGATGCAAATATAAAAGAATTTCAACCGTCTCATAATCTACAACTTAAACAATGCTAATAATTATAGTATAAGAAAGAAGTAAATGACATGTCGGATTAGGATTCCAGTCAAGCTGAAAATTTAATAGCACGTGCCGATAAATCCTAACATTAAAGACTAGCAATTACCTTAATATATTCTTTGAAATTACAAGGGTAAAATGGTAAATTCATACTACTATTGAGGTCATTATTGTTCATGTATATAATGGGTAGTATCCTCTTTGCTTCAACACTGAAAAATCTATACTAAGGAGAAGAAGATGATGAGAACTAGATTAACCCTAGTGCTAGTCATGTTAGGTTTGGGCTCAGTCACCATGGTGAGCCCAGTTGAAGGAATAAGGGCTCAGTCAACTAACAAGAAGATGCAATTTGAGATACTGCCCAAGGTATCCGGTTCATTTTTTGAATTATCTGATTGGGCATTGCCACCACCAAGGAAGATGGTGGAAAAGTTAGATTATAAGTTACCACATCATTTCGGGATATTGCCTAAAGGGAATATCCCTAAAGGGATTCGTATACCACCATCTGGGCCGTCTACCTGGACATCCGACAGCCCCCCAGTGCCGCCGCGTCGTCCACCCAGACTGGAGCAGCCATAGAGATTTGGGGTTTGTTATAAATTTTATCCCATAATATGAAAATGTGCTTGAGATTTAATTTTCTGAATAAAATTGTTAAGTATGTAATATTAATGAATAAATAAATGACAGGCTTTGATCTTTTGTTCATACCCAGTAGTTCCATACAACTACAATATGACCACGTTTTATTTTTCTATCTTGGCCTATGTTATCACAGATAATTTAATCTTAAATAATTAATAATTGAGTAATGATATATAAATAAATAAAAATTATATAAAACTTTTATACAAAATGATGTGGATCAATGTAAACCATTGAGTTTAACAATAGTAGAAAATTACTTCAACCCATAAGTTATAATATAAACAGGGACAGATTCTCTTCAGTTTCATAATTGAATTAGAGGGATTGAATTAGAGGGATTTATTCCATTTCGTTAATCTAAACTATTCAATTTATAGGACTTTTTGTATACATTATGCCAAAAAAAAAAAAAGGTCAATTGACTGTTCGAGTGTTTTTTTTATTATTTATCCAAGTCGACTGTTGAATTGCCTCATGTTGAGTAATAATCTTGACTTGGCACTGGAATTGCAAGTGGTTGGGTTTCTCTCATGTTGAGATCTCAACATGAGAGAACTTGAGGAGTTTATACGGCTTATCATGAGTTCTATTTCGTTGATTCAAACTGTTTATTTTGTAGGGTATTCAATGTATAATATTCATGAAAAAAATTAGTTCGATCCAATAATGATAAGTTCGATCCAATAATCATAACTTTTTCATTTTGCATTTGTTTCCAAAAAATAGACGACAAATATATTTTTGAAATAGACCATCAACAAATGCTATAAAATGAAAATGTAACGATTATCGGATTGACCTAAATTTTTTTCAAACTTGTGATGGACCCTATAGGTCCCTCAAGTTCTCTCATATTGCGATCTCAATACGAGAGAAACTCAACTAAATTTGAAGTTACACCCAAACACCAAAAAATAAAAGGAAACAAAATTATTTTACCTGTAAAAATTTACATGTAAAATATTTGTCAGTAAAATATTTTATTTTAAAACAAATAGAGCCTTCATTTATTCTCTTATTTTTCTATTTTTTATTTATAAATCTCTTCATAAACTTAAAATCTGAATACAATCTATCAGTAATTATTTTTCAGCTATGTACTTAACCAAGTCAGGTACACAAAACTCATCTAAAAATATATCAAAAAATTTATTATGCCACTCAAATTCATCTTAAATTTAAGTTCCGTAATGCATGAATTAAATATGAACTACACAATAATTTTTTAGGGGGATGCACTAATAAATCCCAAATTTGTATCTTGTAACCCATTTGGTCCTATGAATTTTCTTATGAACCGTTAGGCCCCGTTTGCTTCCAGAGATGGAATGGAGGGGATTGATAGTGAGGGGATTAATAGTGAGGGGATTGTTAGTGAGAGTCGTTTGTTTTCAGAGATAGAATGGAGGGGATTGATAGTGAGGGGATTAATAGTGAGGGGATTGTTAGTGAGGGTCGTTTGTTTTCAGAGATAGAATGGAGGGGATTGATAGTGAGGGGATTAATAATGAGGGGATTGTTAGCAAAACAAACGGGGCCTTAGGTCCTATCCCAATATTAATGACCATTAAACATCAAACATCATCATCGTCAAAACAACATCATCATCATCAAAACAACATCAAACATCACAACATCATTATCAAAACAACATCAAACATCATCATCAACATCAAACATCATTATCAAAACAACATCAAACATCATAAACATCATCATCAAAACAACATCAAACATCACAACATCATCATCATCAAACGTAATCACATCATTAACAACACAACATCACAACATCAAACATCACAACAACACCAAACATCACAACAACACCATCAAAACAACATCAAACGTCATCATCATCAAAACAACACACATAATCGCCATCATCAAGCTTCATCGCCATCGTCAAAACATCATCATCAAAAGTCATCTATACAATTCATACATATTTTTTATAAATAAAAAAAAAAAAAACCCAAATCAGAAAAAACCCTAAACGTATTGAATGAAAAACAATTTCAACTTCGGATGTCTTGGTGTTCTAAATTCTGAACTCCTTCAAATTCTCTTCTTAGAAAACCAGAGACACGATGACATCATCATCAAACATCACAACATCAACTCACAACCCACTTCTTTTGTTTTTTCTGGTAGTTGTGGAATAGATAAGTTCTTAATTTGTAAACTTAAAAATATTCTTATGGATCGATTTCAACTTCGGATGTCTTGGTGTTCTAAATTCCAAACTCCTTCAAATTCTTTTCTTAGAAAACCAGAGACGATGGAACCACCGCCACCGCCACCGCCACCGCCACTCTCCCAAAACCCCCCATTATCGCCGCCACAAGATCTCATACACCCACCAATCTCGATTTCTCATTTTTGACCCAGGAATCTGATCCAGACATTGTGGGTATCCGTAATGGTCTAATTTGTATCAGTGTATCTCAATTTGGAAAACCCTTGTTTCTCCGTAACCCTGCAACTAAACAGTTTCGTCAAATTCCGGGTTACAAATGGTGGGATGAAAGGGGTGCGAAATTGAAAAGGGTCACTTTTGGATTTAGGTTCCATCCCAGTGCTAAAGATTATGATGTTTTGTTAATGTTTGATATTGTCGATTGGTGCAGTTAATGTTGCTAATGTAGCTAATGTTTTGATGATGTTAAAGATGTTGATGTAGATAGTGGGACTAAATGGTGCATAAGAAAATTTGTAAGACTAAATGGTTTAACTTTTGACCGCATATGATTTACTGGTAATTTTTCCAATTTTTTAAATATTTTTCTATACAAAAGTTCCTTGCGCACGTATGTTTTCTGAATACCTAACATGGAATGGGTAGAAATTCAAGTCCAGATGGCACACACCATGTAATCTATTCAGTCAACTAGATAGAGTGATTCACTAAAATATAAAATAAAAAATTAACCAAACCTGAGGGAAATTTATTAAAGGAAAAGGCTAAATACTCAGAATTGGGTATTAAAGAATTAACCAAAAAATAAGTGAAAGGTTGAAATTTAAATAATATATTCTGAGTCCATACATAGATAAATCTCAATCACACACTCATAATTCCAAGTATGTATTGTGATTGTTTGCTAAAAGGGACAAAGACCAAAACCCTCAAAGAATGCAAAGCTATACAAAGAGCATATAGACTAACAAAAACCAAAAACTAGCAATTCACTAAACTTGTTCCTATGTTTTGATCTTGAATTTGTACAGAGAAAAAAAAAATAGAAAAATAAGAAAGAAATAGTTAGATACTAGTCTTTCCACGATTACCCTTAAATTTTAAACATATACAAGTAATTTCATTTTCCATTTCCATCATAAATCTAAATTTCAAAATCCAAAAAAAGCAGTAGGGTAGTAACATAACAAGAATGTCAAAATCTGCTAAATTTCTCTCCACACCTTTATAAAAAATAAACAAATAAATAAATCTTATACCAAGCACACAGTAGGTGGGGTATAGAAATTAAATTTGTGTATTTAGCAGAACCCAATCAGGAATGGAAAACCAAACTAGATCCATCTCAAAACAGATCAAAATCCCCAACCAAACTAGTCTTAAACTTATCGTTGGTCTCAGCTTTGGCACGTTCAGTATATAAATGAATAAAAAAAAAAACCTAATCTGTACAACTATTGGGCCAGTACTTTCTAATTATTGAAACAACAAATTGATTCAGAAACTCAGAAAACAATTTTGTTTATAGCAATGCTAAGAACATAGAAAATTTTCATACGATGGGACAAAGGCGTGAGACTCACATAAGTGGAGTCTACATGTTGAATCCATCTTTTCACCCATAAAATGCTCTTTTCCCATTGGCAATAGATCCCGGATAAAGTAATGGACCCTAGTAAAAAGGTCAATGGAGACGGTGGATAACATTCACGAACATGTTAGGTGAGTAAACAAAATCAAACTCCCAAAACCCCTATATTCATCTACAATTTTCAGTCAACATCTGGATTTCAATCTATACTTTCAGAAAAAGAAATGTCAATACATGGTGATCATTTGAGTATTTATTTTCATGATGTAATGATCTTTTTATTCATCATCTGCTACACCCTATCATTTTCCATGCACCTAACCTAAAATGCAGTTTCTGATTCACATCCTACATATCTGCAACCTCTGCTATTAGGTCATCTATCAACAATTTCTCAATTTCCTTACCTATCGCGTCAATGCCATCCCCAGAATCCAGCCACAGCATCTCCCTGTCCAGCAGTCTCTCTGTCACCTCCTCTCTTGCTTTCTTCTCTTCATTTTCCAGAAAATCACGCACCTCATATTTCAAACCATGTTTCTGCCACTCGGGGGGACCAACCTTCCTTGTCAATAGCTTCACCCAAGGGTGTGGATTAATCAACCACTGGAAAATCTCAACGAGCCCAGTATTTATAAGGTCAAATAGCAGCCTCCTTTCGGACCTCAACCATGTCTCGTTGCAATACTTCTTCTCAAGGTTGTCAAATACCCCGGGACCCAGCGGACAATCTGGAGAGTGCCATGTTGCAATGATCATATCCGGATCAGCATCTTCAAATCCAGAGTCGATTAGCACATCAATTAGGTAAGAACATTCGAAGCTGTCATCTTCAAATATTTCATCGTCTTTGTCACTTGACATGAGCATCCCCTCGTCTGTATATGCTCCAGACTCCATCTTGAGAAGCTTGAGTTGCATTCGAAGCCCTACCAAGAACAAAGAGAATAAAGTAATGTTAAAGCAAAATGTATATTAATGGAATCAGTAGCAAACCAATGAAATGAGATCAATCCAATGAAGGGGGTGTTGAGATCTGATTGAGGAGATCAATGTTGCTGGCCAGAATGTTAATTTTACATACAATGACTGCAATATTATGGAACAAACTCAATAAGCTGAAGAGCAACAAAAGGCGAGGTCAAGGATTTGGACTGAGCTAATGGAAAATATGTCATGGCTTCTGATTTAAATGAAGGTACGCCAAAAAAGATTTTTGCATACGAACCCCAAATAAATTGTATATATCTAGGTTTAGGTTGCTTATGGGACAAAAACCAGCTCACTCTATTACATAAGCTAATATGTTGCATCTATAGCATCTCTTCAAAATTGTACGATGCTTCAATAATACAGTGAATATTTTTGTTATTATTTTTTCACATGATTGCTTCATTCTCCTTTGTGCAACAGTTTAGTTTCAATATGTACCTAAACCGTTACATTCTACAGAAAATACAAATTATAATAAAAACGAAAACATTCCATAAAAGAGTAAATAAAGTACAGGCATTTAGTCACCTTGAAGGTCTGCACTGACTCTCTCAAAGCATTCAGAACCAGATGATATTTCTTCTGTGAAAGGGATTTCCAGAACTGACACTGGACTCGGATGATCTGCGTCCTTTGAGCTACCTGGAGATGGTGGTTCAGGTACAGGGCACCGCAATGGAACTGGATCTTCTTTGGATGGTTCAATTTGAGGTTCCTGGAACATCATAAAAAGAAACTTCGTGAATTTAATTATATGAGAATTTTCGCAGGAAGTATTTGGCAAGCACTTAATAATGTATGTACCTACTGAAATCATAGATATGCAAAGCACAATTCAATCATATTGAGAATCTCCAAATTAATATTTAAGTTATGCATTATGATCATCTACAAGACACTTGTGGTCTAGTTCAGTTAGCATGGATGCAGACTCCAGACCTTCCACCTACAAATATTTGACATATGCAAGTGGTAAAGATCTTGAAGGAAAACCCGGATTTGCAGGTACAAGATCAAATATCCAACATGCATTCCATAGTTTGCTTTCCTAATGCACCACTAACACAAGAAAACAAAGGAAAACAAAGATGACAAGGTAATGTGGAAAGGGCCTATCATGGTTTTACATGAATGTGTGCACATGCAAATTTTGTTATGAACCTCAAACCAATATAAAACAATTCAACAGTACATTTGCATTCAGAACATTTATCTGTTAATGCATGTGACTGTGTGTGCTCTGTGTGTCCTTGGATGTGTATATATACAGGGACCAAAAGTGGGATTGAAATATATCCGTCGGAACACATTTTAGAGTCGATCACAAAAACTATTATGAGCAATGGAAATGGTTTTAGAGTCTATCAAGAATTTGAATCTCATACATCCCTTACACTGCACATGCACACCCATATGGAGTTCTCAATAGATCTTTCTCCGTACCAATGTGGAACTCATAAAAATAAGCAAAGAGAAAAGAAAATAAAACAAACAAATGCACAGTAGAATCAGGACAAAATTCTCTAAAGCTTTCTCAACACTTAACTGATTACGTAAAATTTAAATATATATATATGTATATATATTGGGGAAAAAAGACGCAATGTCCCACTTCTTGATAAACTCATGGCGGATAAATAGTTAAAGAAAGCTAAACAAACCAACAGTATATCATGCAGTCAGCCCACTCCACTCTTGTAAGAAAGGAAACATTAAGGTTGTTAAAATGTGGATTCAGTATTGCTAAGATGGATGTGCAATGTAAATACCAAGAGAAAGGAAGGCACAGTTGCATCTCAATGTAAGAATCACATTGTATATTCTTTCTATTTCCTACCTTTTGAATAGCTTCTGATACCTCTCAAATTATTTAGCTTGCACCCCCCACCCCCAACCAAAAAAAAATAAAATAGGAATGGTTCTAGGTTCCCGCTGCTGAAGACAAAATTTTATTATAGGAGTTCTTATTACCCAAAAAGAACTAAAGGAAAAGGAAAACAAGAACAAAAAAAGGGGAGAATTGCAAATCAGTGGGAAAAAAGTGAAAGTAATTGCAAAAAACATGGAGGTGCATGTGAGTCTGTGTTCTACTGCAAGTGAAAATTGTGGCCTAACTTGCACTAAAGCATAGACCCTTTGCTCTGGTGCAAGTGAAAATTGTCCCACTTGCACTTATATTTTTTTGTAACTAACTGTTAAAATCCACTTCACCTCTCCACCTCTTCACCCACTTAAACCTACTCCACTAAACCTAACCCACTACACCACTACCACCTCACCTACTCCACTAAACCTAACCCACTACACCACTACCACCTCCACTTCACCTACTCCTTACCTACTACACACTCACCCTCTTCTATATATAGGAATCATGGATCATTGTAATAAATATAACAAATCAATAAACATCAATCAATAATACATATATAACAAATCAATAAACATCAATCAATAATACATAAATTCTTACACTAACTATGTGCAATTTCCCCAAAAGAAAATAATATATTTCCAGAACACAAAGAAATTTACAAAAGAAACTTAGGTTGTTCAAGTTCATGTATGTGCTTGCACTAGACAAATTCTGCAGTATGATGTATATGGTAAGTGATAATGTAATTACATCTACATTTTCCATGTTCTAACCAAAAATAAATAAATAAATCCAGGTTCTCACTTAAAAAAAAAAAAATTTACAATTCCAAGTTTTGGCCTCCAACAGTGTCCATATACACATCAGTAAAATGTCAGGATAAACATGTGGCACTAAATTTGAAACAATGTAGAGAGATATAGATGCAAAGGAGGCAAAAAAGGAAATATGGCATCAAGGTTTTAGTCAGCAGATCTGACTCGTCCTATTCAGATGGGAATGGAACAAGTTTAAGAGGGGTAGGGTTGACAATAAAATTTCAGAAGATGAGAACGTGCATGGTCATTAAAATGAGGATCCCAAAGTGGGATCGGTGAGAGGTCTCGTCAGTTGAATCATCAATTTGGATCAAGGATGGACCTTGAGGGGGTGATCGCCTAAAAAATCCCTTTATATATTAGAATTAACTATTAATTATCTTTAAATTATACATATTGGCTGCCTCTAGATTTGAAAAAAAAAAAGTGGTTGCACGATCTACACCTTTTTATATATGAAAGGTGGGATGCAAAGTATAAAATTTAATAATTTCGACAAACATAATAATAAAATTTGGTTTCTCACAACTAGTGTCGATATATTGTCTTATAATTGATCTTTTATAACTCAATATGAGTATAGGAGAACATGTTTATTAATATATATTTTATGCTATTTTGTACTTTTCATGTCCGTAAAAATTGATGTTGTAATTTACACTTCATTTTTAAAATTTTTGTTAGAATATATGTTCGCCCCCTCTATGTTAAAATCTTGCGTCCATCCCTGATTTGGATCGATGATCGTAACTTCATAAGATTCATTTTCCATTTAAAAAATAGGGTGAAAAGTCACTAGTAATGATGATGTATACTAATAACATGTGGAGCGTGCATAACAAATGAAAACAATGATAAGGTGGAAATTGGGAAGGAGATAGCAAGAAACCATCTAGAAAATTTAGCAATATCATCACAATTTCTGCAATTTATCAAAAACAAATCTTAGGAAACAAAAAGCAAACATATCATCAAACACAAGGGGTTCGAAAGTGTTAAATCGCCAATTATCTCCAAAGCTTAAGTTTTTAGCAAATGAGCCCAACAATATATATCAAACTATCCAACACCCTCCCTCACGTGCAAACCCATCTTGTACGTAGAGGGACAAACAGAAAATTGAACAGAAAGAGAAGCAAACAACCAAACAGAGAAAAATAAACCAGACAAGGACAGTATACCAAATGCCAACGAAGAAACTTGCACCCAAAACTCTCTCAACTACCATGTTAATTTGAGAATAATCTGTGCATATTATCTTGGGTAGAACTAAAGCCCTAAAGCTAGTTATTAAGGTGAGGGTGTCCTCACACTTATATATACTGCACATTACTTTCGTACCCAGGCGATGTGAGACTTTGTTTCAAACCCTCCCTCACACACAGCATGCTCACTCGACAACACTTGCCACATGCAATCCAGGGACACACATCTTACCCATCTATAGGACGTGTTTGGACATGTGTTGAGAAATGTCTGATGAGTGTCGTGTCATGTCGGAATCTAACACAATGTTGGACAAGACATGACACCTTCTTGAAAATATTCATGCTTCTTAAGTTATTGCGATTAAGGGTGTAGTCAAAATAATAAAAACATATCAAAATAGGAAAAAAAAAATATGAAGCAGAACAATAAAAGATTTGGTTTCAAGAATTTTGAGAATGATACTAGAATAGAATTTTGATCTCTCTTACCAATGTTTCAAATGACTTAAATGTCAAATAAAAATCATTTCAACAAGAGGCAAAGAGAACGATGTTCACAAAATGTTAAGGTTTTATATATCTAGAAGATTTAGTTTATTCTTTTAACAAGAGAAAAAGGGAGGAGCAAGCAAGAGAGAAATTGGGGAGTGAAGGGGAGCCATCGTTGCAATGGCAACCAACGTTGTGAATATCATACTGCTTACAACATTTGTTATTGGTATAGTACACACCGATACTGGTGCAGTTTTGAAAATTGTTTCAAATTTATTGTTATAAATATTCTATATTTGTTTAAAATATTTTTATTTACTTACAAAACTTAAAATATAATTGACATTAGTTTAACTTAATGAGCACGATATAAACCTTTTATTTAATGAATACAATATGGGATTTTATTGTTGAAATCATTCATTAATATTGTTAGAATTTCCCATCTTTACCTTCACCTACTCCACTACAATTGTAATTAATGAATCTTGTAATCTATCAATCAAGACATCAATCAATACCACATTTTCTTCTATATATAGATTGTATAGGAATTGTAATTAATGAATCTTGTAATCTATCAATCAAGACATCAATCAATAATACATAAATTCTTACAAATATACAAAATCTTTTATAAATTGCTCCAGTAATATATGTATCTAGCCCACTCTTTGAGAAGAGACTATATAAAGCCTATGTAATAGATTATGGATACGTGTACTCTTTTTTCTTTTTTCTTTTTTTATGTGAGTATATGGATATACGCACTTACGAACTATAGATGAGAGTTTACAGTGGAATAACAAATGACGACTCTCGATAGAAGAGAAAAGAAAATGAAAGAATATTTGTAGGTTATAGAGAAAGAGTTAAACAAGGCTCAATTAGTACGCATTAATGTGTTTGGGAGGGGAAAGATTAGATACACACCTAGCCTTTGACATAGTACACAAAATGATTATAAAGAAAGAGTGAAAGAAAGAAGTTCTCCGAGATGATACTAGAGGAAAACTGAAGAAAAAGAGAACGGTGAAGAAGCATGGTGTTGAGGGTAAGTTTAGCACCAAACCGATCCTTTCGATTTTGATGGTTGAGGAACTGATACAGATCATATGTTACGGTTCGGTTTTACCGGTTTTGTTGATTTGATGTAAAAGAGGGATTTGCATGAGGTTTTAAGGGGTTTTATAGAACCTTGCAGAATTTCACATTGAAAATCAATAAAGGAAATGTATAAAAGTTGCTCTATAAATGTTTCCCTCCTTAGTTTTTATCACAAAAATATATTATATTAGTCACTTATCATATAATGCTAGAAGAATTAAAATATATAATTACTTAAATATAATTTTGGGTCGGTTCGGTTTGCATCAGTATAAAAATATTTAAAACCAAAACAAACCGTATGTTATGAAAAACATACCGAAATTTTAGTTTTAGGAGCATCCCGATATGGGCGTCGTTGGAGTTGCCGATATGGGGATATCAATGTAGGAGCATCCCAATATGGGCGTCATTGAAGTTGATAATTGCCGAAGTTGATGTCGTTTGACACTTTGATAGGTGGTCGTCTCATAACAGAGGGGCATCCAAAAAGGAATTTATGTTTATTGTATCGGACCAAACAGAGTCCAAAAATGAATTTTCTATGTATTTTTATAGTAATTTTAGTACTCAGAGTTTTATTTATATATATTTAAATTTTATTTATGACATTACTATATATCATGTTTTAATTTCGATTGATTTAGTAGTTGAACGATGACCATTGACTAGGTGCTTTTTTCGTTCACACCAAGTTTAGTTTACATAACATTGCTTTTTTGGTCAAAACGGTACATCTCGAACCGTACCGACCTATCTCGAACAAGATTCACAACTCTGCTTGCAACCATGGTGGTAGTGCAACACTTCGTGTCACTTATGTTTCTCATACTCTATTTTTTCCCTTTGGTAAATACTAAATTCTCCTAGTTTTTGGCCAATTGTCGATTTCAACCAATTTAAAAAAGGACACATGGCAATTCGAGGAAGCAAAGGTTGCTCCATAAATGTCCATGCAACTATGCTAGTAATTCCCTTAGTATTAAGTTAATTCTCCACGTATTTTGGAAGGAAACAAAGAATTTAAACACATTTTTCAATTGTGCATGAGTGGAAGAAACTATGCATGGCAAGTCCATTCATTTATGAAAACCACATAATGGTGATACTTTACAAAGAAAAATCTCTATAAACTATAGTGTCTCACACGTAGGCACATTGCAACAAATATCATCATATCATATCATATCATATTAGTACTTGATGTTGAGGAAGAATGCATCATGCTTGACCCCCAAGATTGTTTCACTAGTGATCTTCCTAACTTGATAGCGACCAAGTTCAGTCCCTTCTTCTTGATCTTGTATTGATCCACGACCATCCTTGGTATCCTTTGTGGATACCTCATGAAATCCATGATCAGGATTCCACAAAAGAATGTAGAGGGAAGGTAACTCACGAAGGCTTTTAGCAACTAGAAAACATGATTTTAAATCTTGGTTTTGGTTCATTGCAAATTGGCCAAGTTTGAACAGGAAAATTAAGGTCCTGAATAGGATGGCCAATTCACAATGAGAACTAGTTAGACCGGATAAATTGCCAAGTTGACAACAAACTGGTTTGGTTCAACTCGGTTCGGGCCATGCAGGGTCATGTGCAACATTTGAAGCTTCAATTTCATCATTTTCTTTTTCATTTCTCCACCTCATTTGTACGATGTCAATGAATTCCACAAAATCTGTAGAAGCCCCATATCTCTTCTCTACCTCTTGATTTTGATATCCAAGAAAATGATCAGGTGCCAACAAATAAGAGAGAGACAAGTGATTGCAAGAGATCTGGAAGCTCCAATCGATGACAATGGGTTGTAGCATTTAAGAAGCCCCATGTTGCAAAAGATGTGGTGGCTCTGTTCAACGATGAAGAGAATAGGTTGCAGCATCCAAAGAAGCACGCATTGCAAGAGATCCGACACCGACAACCGAAGTATCATGGTGAGGCAGTTTGGCTTTAAATTTCTAATAGATGAACTGAATTAAGTCTTTGTCGCTGCTTGTGCTATCCTCTGTGACTGGGCAGCCTCACTGCTGTGTGAGGGCTAATGCGTCTTGTATATCCCCTTTCTTTGATGGTCTCAAGTGCTAGAAGGTTCTGTTATACGGTATTGGGTAGAACTCAATCCCAAAAACTAGTTTGTGGGGTGAAGGGTGCCCTCACGGCTAAGAAGCATGGACACGGACACGTGACACGACACGAATACGACACGGACACGTCGACACGTTAATTTTAAAAAAATGCAGGACACGACACGTGGAGGACACGCATGAAATATATAATTTTATATATTTATTATATGTTATATATATGAATATATCATTCAAAGATAATAAAAAATGCAATATAACACTAATTCCTATAAATTTATATGATTTTTGTTTTATTATTGTATCTTAAGTTGTTTTGTTCAAACTTATAATTAGTTTCACATATGTATAATCAATAGACACATGTGTTTAAACAATTGACACGTGTGTCCTCCAAGTGTCCAAAGAGTGTCCGGGTCTTTAAAAATATTTAAAAAATAAGACACGTTTTGAAGAGTATCGGACACGTGTCCTAAGAGTGTCCAAAGAGTGTCGGTGTCCGCCACGGACATGACACGGATACGTCACCTTCTTAGAAGTGTCCGTGCTTCTTAGCCTCACGGTTATATACTTCACACTACTTCACTACCCATGCGACGTGCGACTTTGCTTCACGAGTTCTTGGTGGCTATTGGTGTATTTTGTCTTGGTGGCAACATTTGTTGTGAATGTATGATGAAAAGGTGGTTCTATGTTATAGATATGATAACATATTTGCTTCTTGTTTTGTATGACATTAAAAGCAAAACATTTAATAAATTTTACCTAATTAAAAACCTCTCCTTTCTCTTACTATTTAAAAACCTCATATTTTACACTTTGTGTGCTACAATTAGTATATTGGCTTGTGATTTAATAATTATTTCATTATTATCAAATAAGCAAAACATGCTCCATACGTCGCCAAAAAAGTGACAAATTGAGCTTAAGAGTAGAAAAAATATGTGTTGTTGAATTTTTTAGGGGTTGCTACTTGCTAACAATTTTTAAAAATTCACAACAATATTAATTGATTCCCAATACATATTGCTCGATACTCTTGATAGGCTGACAAGGCTACATTGCGACCAATACCAATACGCCTCCTGATACCGCTAAATGGAACCATGGTCATAATGGCAGTCCACTATAACATTAGTTTGTCTGGAGAATGACTGCAACCCAACCCACTTTGGATTGTGTCAAATCCAAGAAAGGTTCCTTCTATTCTAGAGCAGGATTGAGGGAGAATCAAAGGTCAACCCAAACACACCCCATTGCCATTCTTAACAAACAAGAGAAATTCTATAAATATTCTCTTTAATGTTAATGTATCTTTGATCAAAGCAATAGCGTATTATTTACTTCGAAGGAAAAGTTAGGAACTAGATTTTCTCAAAGAAAATGCCAAAGAGAGTCAAAGTAGTGCATAATATATCATACATATAATGTACCTGACCTTAATGCAAGACACAATAAAATTACATATAATGCTGTAATCATTTATGATGAGATATAAACAGCTATGTAAATATCATAACAACTAAACACATTGTAAATCATAATTAAAGGGAAAAAAAAAAACAACAACAACAACAACAACAAAGACATTATAAACCAACAATCAATGCACGAGACTTAGGTTCGTCAAATGGAATTGTACTGGGAAAGAAATGAAAAGATATGAAAAGAGCGTCATGCTAATTAAATTATGTTGGCTCACAGTATAGGTTACGGAAAAAGGCCAACAACAATTAGCATAATAAAGATTATTTATGTGAAAGTGAATCAAACCTGAGCTTTTGAATCCTCTGGACCAGGAGTAGAAGAATTTCCATTTCCTAACAAACAAGGTGACAGTTTTGAGGCCAGTTCATCAGGGGATTCAGAAGACATGGTCATATCTTCATGTTCAGCGTCCACCTCCACATCGGTAATCGAACTTGTACTGTTGACATTATTAGCAGAAGCCAAAGACTTTTGACCAGATGGATCTTTCTTTCCAAGGTTGATCCCCATTTGAAACTGATTAAAGTGCTTTTCCTCCAAAGAGTCACTAATATCACCATAGGTGCAGCAAGGGGACTGCCATTTCTTGTTGTCAGATCTTAAGTTTCTGGATAAAGAATCTTCTTTCTTATTTAAATTTCCCTTAATTGCCTTGTTTCTACCAGAATTCATCGCTTCTCTTGGCATTGAATAAATGTATTGGTCAAGAGCTTGACGTTGCTTGCTTGTTTTAGGGCCAACACATGAAGCAGGAACAAATCTCAATCTGGATGAATATCTGACACATCCATCCTTCCACCCATCCCTGCTACTAATACCCAAAGGATTATCCCATTCTGCAATTTCATGATTGCCAGCAAATCGGTCACTTGGCTCATCCAGTTCAATCACTGGATCCAAGTTCTCTGGCCTCATTTCCCTATCTGGAATGGTAAGCATTTCACCCAGTGTGCTACCCTTACCAACTTCTCCAACAACCTGATACTTTTGGGACATCTTCCACCTCTCTGAAAGTCTCTTCTTGGCCTCCTTACTTACAGATGACTCCATTAAATTCAATGACATAAACTTCTGCCGGTTACTCCAGTGAAAGGACTTTCTGGACATTGACACCTCTGATTCACTTGCAGAATCACTGCCAGAAACATTATATGAGCTCTCATCCGCAGCATATCCCTTAATGGAGGACAAATTTATCGGATCACTGCAAAAGCTCTCTCTCATTTTCCTAGTAATCTCCTTCGCTATTTCTCTCGGTTCTTTAGACATCAGCCTTGAAAAAGCAGCATCACTAGATATATTTTTCTCAACCCATGCTCTTGTCTCCCCAGTGCCAATACTCGGGTATTCCAAGAGCTTCCTAGAATCTAACACATGACAATGTGAAGAAGAGGGTGATAAAGCAGATTTACTAGCATGCCGCACCTTTTCAAGGTTCGGTTTCAGAACAACAATCCTTTTTGGGAGGATGTCTGTCTCATGCTTCCCTTCTAATTGAATTTTTGATGACTTAAGAGGTTTTTGAGCACCACGATGATTGTAGGAGTGGGTAGAAAGACTACTAAGATGTTTCCAATGAGAGCCAGTGTCAGACCGTGAAGTCTCTTTCTCTGATTTCCAGCCAATGGTATTGCTTTCATAGTTTACCGAATTTGTTGGCTTTAGCACTGCTATGTGACTGCAATGTGATCTGGGAGCAGAACCTTTCAGATCAGAAAGATGCTTTGCAAACAAAGAATCTTGTTGCTGAAGATATTGCATCAATAGGTCCTGGTTAGTATCCAGCCTGTCAAACGTATCACAAAATTCTTTTGAATCATCAAGCGTTTCATCAGCAGAAAGACATTTCACATTCATCAGCTTGCGTCGAATGAATGCCATCTCTGCTTCAGAATACCTTGGATTTACAGTCCCCTTCGCTGGGTGACTTCCCCTATCAACTTCTGATGTTTCCAAAACTTCATACACATCCTTAAATTCTTGATGCTCCATGGAGTTTTTCCTATTCATTCGGCATTCATAAGGTTTTCCATCCCTTTGGGATACTACTGATATGCTCCTATGTCGGTAAGTTTCCGAGAACCTCTTATCTTGTCTATGAAGAGGCTGCTGAGGTGGCAACCCATCAAGACCCATCAATCTGGTAATGACACTACCTGGCCGTCTCTTGGACTCGGTTTCTTTTGACATTTCTTCTGCTAATAACTTCTTTATTGGCGTTCCAATAACTCGTCTGGAAGAGCTCCTCCCCAACTCGCATGTGAACTACAAACAGAAAATGAATTTTTTTAATTCAAAATTCCTCTTAAAAAATAAAGAACGAAGAACTAGAGTCTGATGCCAATCAGCAGATTTCTAAATGACAATACACCAATTCAAATCATAATGCTCAAATATAAATACAAACAAGAAATCAACTCACCAAATCTTCCTTGGTGGTACCACCAATGTAAGAACTATAGTCTGATGCCAATTTTGGTACACTTCTTTGTTTTTGAGTTTGCCTGTTTCCTGTAAATGAATATAGACAACATTATAGAATGGTAATTCCAAGATGATATATACATATGACCACACATACAGAGGCTTGCAAATTGTGTGTACAGAAATTTCAAATCACCAAAACCAAAGCCATGAAACAATGGCAGGAAACAAGAAAATAGAAAGCACAAAATTAAGAGAGAATCGCATCTAACACACTAAGTTCATTTGAAATGATTACATTATCCAACTCAACTCCAAAAACTCAAAATTTTTAAATTTAAAATTTAAAATTCAATAAAAATAAAATAAAAATTTGTACAATTCAGATTTTCTGAAGAAACACAAGCAAGTACAATGAGAGTATTAAATTTGATGTATAGAAAAATAGAGAGAATGAAATATGTATTGATGATTGATATTATTGATTGATGTATTGTTGATATTCTGTATTTATGTATTACAACTGTATATATAGAAGAGAAGATGGTAGGTGGTAGGTGATAGTGGTAGGTGTAGGTGGTAGTGGAGGTGGTAGGTGTAGGTGGTAGTGGAGGTGGTAGGTAGTGGTAATTTATACAATTTACATTAACAAGAGGAAAAAAATACAGAAATCAAAGAAAATTTTGATATATGCTAAATTTCTAAATCAAGAATCAGAGAAGTACTAAATAAACTAACCATAGGAGCTTCTAAAGCGCTATAGACTGCAATTATTTCTCATGATAACCCTCAAACTAAAAAAGAACAAACGAAATCATTTTCATACCACTACAGCAAAGGCACTACTCAATTGCACTTGCAAACAAAACTTTAACAAAAGCACTAGAAAAGCCAAAACTCAAACTAACTAATAAATAAGCTCCACGCTTCCCAAAGTGCAAAGAGACAAATAAAAACAGAAACGAACACCAAGTACCCGTTTGGTTACTGAGAAAATGAAGGAAAGGAAAGCAAAATTTTCAAAATCACAAGCCTCAATTCTTTGAAAATATGAGAATTATTTAATTAAAAAAATTACTAAAATGAGGTAAATCAATCTGTCTGCTTTCTTTGAGGTGAAATTTTTAGCTTTTCGAAAACATAAAAAGAAAATCCTCAAATAAAACAGAGGCACCACTCAATTGCACTTGCAAACAAAACTTGTTAGCAAAATAAAAGCCTAAACTCAACCAAACTAAAGAGCAAAGAGACAAACAAAAGCAGAAACAAACACAAATGATCCGTTTGGTTAGTCAGAAAATGAAGGAAAAGAAAGCAAAATTTTCAAAACTTCAAGCCTCCATTATTTGAAAAATGAAAATTATTTAATAAAAAAATCACTAAAATGAGGCAAATCAATTATCCGCCACATTTGAGGTGAAATTCATAGCTTTTAAACAACATAAAAGAAATCCTCAAACACCAAAACGAGCAAAAAATTGAGGAGAAATTTTTAGCTCTTCAAATACATATAAGAAAATCATCAAACAGTCATTTTCTTTGCTTTTTTCTCAACTTCTCAGAAACCAAACAGACATACATTTAATAATTAAAAAAAAAAAACTCTCTTGATTCCTCGGTTTTCCCAGCAACCAAACAGACATACATTATGGTTTTGTGAGTGCGCGTGGGAGAGAGAGAGAGAGAGAGAGAGAGAGAGAGAGAGACTGACCTTCATTGGTGATAGGAACTTTCAACTTCTTCTTTTGCCGAACTCTCTCCATTTTCCACTCATTCAACAAACACAAAGTCAAAAGAGAAAAAAGGAAATTCCAGAGAGAAAATCCTCGAAAGTGCTTCCAAGTAGAGATAGAAAAGATTCACGAAGATCACGAGAGCAAAAACCCTAGCCTTTCAGCTAAATTCACACACAACTTACAAAATCTAACAACAGATCTTCAAAATCTATCTAGAGAGAGAAAAACAAAATAAAATAGAAAGCACAAAAACTTTTAGAGAGAGAAAATGAGAGACGAAAGGCATTGTTCAGAAAAAAGAGAGAGAAGGGATATTAATGAATGAAGGCCAGAATCGAAACATCGAAGGAGATAACTCTAAGCCCTTGCTGGGTTTTTTTGAACATTCAAATCGTGATGTGAGAGAGAGAGAGAGAGAGAGTAACCGGACCTTGAGTCCTGACCTTCTGGGCGGGCAAGTCCGAGGGTCTCGTATGGTGCACAGCGCTTTGTCCTACCTGCCACGTTTCTGAATTTAGTTAGGCCACGTCGTGTGCATGCTCGTTTGGCCTAGTTCAGAATTTGTTAGACAATTGGTTGGCTCAAGTATCTTTTTATTTTGTCTTTTTTCACCTGAAACTGTCCGTTTATTTTTGTTGTTTTTGTTGCTGTCAAAAACTAGTTTTGGTTTTCACTATTCAAAAAATAAAAAATATATTTATATTATGTTTAATTTTGAGTTTTTAAAAATAATTTTTAATTCGTATTTCATTATTTTTAATTAATTTTAATCAATTTTTTGGTCTAGATATATTTTGAAAGTATAAAATTTGAACATATATTAAATAAAATATTGAATATAATAAAATATGAATATATATATATATATTTTTTTTTTTGTATTCAATGAATTTTTGAAAGATTTTTGCACAAAATTTATATTTTTCAAGTGTATTTAAATTAAGTGAATGTTAAAACTAAAAAAAAAATTAAAATATACTAAAAATAAAAATATACTAACTGAAAGTTCATAAAATGGTTTTTGAAAATTTCAAACCAAACTAATTTTTAAACATGTGTTTTTAATATATATTTGAATTTTTTTTAAAAAAATATTGTATATTTTGTATGAAATAATGAATAATAAAATTATAATTTTTTTAATTATTTTTAAAATATGTTCTATGACCACACGTTAATTAAAAAAAATTATTTTTTGTTATGATTCTAAAAATAATGTATTTTGTAATAGTGATAGCAATTGGTGACAATAATAAACCACGATGATAGTAGAATGGTGGTGGCAACTTTGGTAGCTATGGCCATGATGACAATAATAATGATGAAATTGGTATGATTTTAATTTAAAAATTAAATTTTATCTTTAAAATGTGAAGTTTATTTTTTTTTGTCTAAATTGATTATTTTTTCTGTTAATCATTAAAAATATTTCCCTTTAATTTTCATTGTCTTCGGTACTCAATGCCACATTAAAAAAAAAATACTTTTTAACAAAAACAAATGAAAAATAATTTAGATTTTTTTTTTTTTAATTTCAATATACTGAGGTGGTGTTTAAATTTGAAACCGTTTTCTTGAGATTCCTAACTTTTTATTGTTTTTTTTTTTTTATAGGTACAATGATATGTAAGTTATGGGCTAATTTAATAATGGCATTTGACCTAATAGTTATGTAATTTCGTTAATAGTTATGTAATTTGGTTTATGATATAAGATTTCGGATTTAACTCCTGAATAGAGAAATTTGATATCTTTTGTGATATTTAGGGGTGGTTTGGCATTTCTTATATAATTCATCTTTTTATCTTTTTTTCATCATATCGCCTCTCTACTTTTCTGTACATTTTTCGTAAAAAGACAAAAAATACACTTATTTAAATCATCCTAAACAACTATTTGCTTTCTTTTTTATTATGGGGGTTATATGCGATTCGTAGTGGCGGTTTGGTTTGAATAGGCTTGGTGAAGGCTTCGTTTGGCAATAGATTTTTCGGCTAAATTAACTACAAAAGGATAAAATAGGCTAAAAAGTAAATAAGACAAAATATTACATTTAGGTTTAGTTTGGCATGTTTGAAAAAAGTCAAAAAGTCATTATCCTATTTAAGTCACATCATCTTATTTAAATCGCATCACCTCTCTAACACATCACTTCAAATCCAACCCAAACTCAACTCATATTTCATAAAAAGTCAAAAAGTACACTTATTTAGATCATCCCATAATCATTTTAAATTTTCTTTCCAAAAAAAACTTAAAAAGTCAATCCAAACAAACTTTTAGCCATGCAAAGTCAAAAGAGCAATGGTAGAGGGTCACAAAAAGTGTGGCTCAAATGGCTCAAAACTGTCAAAACGAAACGACGTCGTTTTGACAGTTTTGAGCTATTTGAGCCACACTTTTTGTGGCCCTCAAACATTTTTCAAGTCAAAAAGCCAATTAAAAAAATCCATTGCCAAAAGACAATTTTATTGACTTTCTAACTATTATAAATTAATGGTCTTTTTGATGATGTAAATATTTCTCATTATATAATTGTTCTTCAATCTATTGACCAAAAAATAAAGTTATGCGCCAATTTTGAATTTTTCACAAATTCAACCATATAAAACTCAACTCAACTCACTAACCATTATTGTAGACGAATTTCAGAATTTGAATTGTGAATTTATGCCATTTTTTATTATTTAGATGCATATTATTGAAATTAGGGAGTTGGTTATAATTAATGATGAAGGGATTACCATTGACACATCAAAAAGAGTAAGTTTATAAGTACAGAAATTAAATACGGAATATGACACAACCTCCTCATAAGGATTTAAGTTCACATATGTGAGACTCACATGGATCATCCAATGTTTCATTTTAAATTTTGAAAAAAAGGGCTAATATATCATTTAAAAAGGGTATCAACAATTAATGGCATAATCTGTATTTCTACCAGAAAGGTAACTGACAACAACGCCATATTATTGTTTGAAAGAGAAACTGAACTCAAGCGCATCAAACCATGGCACTAATTCAAAATGATACTTCAAATTATCATAATATTTATTGGATAGGTTACATTAATCTCTAATAAAATTTTAAAATATATATTCAATTTTATAATTTTGACATAATTATATTAATTTTTCTTTTAATAAAATTCAAGAGATGAAAACTAATTTATACTATATATTAAGCAAAAAGAGATTTTTAACTCCAAGGCCTGTGGGAGTTTCAATATCTCAATCTGAATTTTCTAAATTTTTTATTTAAAAAAAAAAAAACTCAACATTTATTGATTTGGTCAAAATCCACTGATCAGTATTTATTAACTTTTTTCAATCTACGTGTCTTTCTACATACCTGCATTTATTGATTTGGTCAAAATCTCCTGATCAGTATTTAAAATCCCATCATGCAAATAATTATAGATACAATCCGTGTATAATTACTGCAGTACCCTTTTCAACTTCTCCAATACACTATGATTAGTGATAAGATTCTTAAATTATTTTTATAAAAAATCTTTAAAAACATAATTTATATATTAAAAAAAATCTAAAACAAATATAAATATCTATAATTATCTCATGCATAGTACGGGTGATAGGCTAGTATAAATAATGTGAATATACAAGAATAAATAATAAACTATATATTTCGAGGTAAAACATATGACAAATTTATTTTTCCATTCATATGGTTAGAATATTGATGAAAATTGGTTAAATGCTACGTGAATTAAAATCTTAAAAAGGTTCAATATAATTATGTTAAAATTATGACATTTGATATATTACTGTCAAATTCAGTGTAATTTAATTCACAAGTAGAATTACTGTCCAATTAACATTATGTATCCACAATGAACCATTTTTGTCTAGATGATTTCAATTTTAATTCAAATTTGATGACAATCTGTTTGAATTTTAAATTTGTGAAAGAAAAGAAAAAGAAGAATGAAAAAAAAAATATATATATATATATATAATAAATAAAGACAAAAAAAAAAGGACTAATTTATTCACTTTTTGCTTTTTCTTTCTTTTGCTTCTAAAAATTCATTCATAAATTCAAAATCCAAAGGCATCCATCCTTCTTTGTGTTTTGTGCATGGAGTTCAAAATTCAATTGAAATATTACAACTCAAATGTAGTTCTTTTTGTTTTAATCAGATTCATATGAGATTACTATTATACTCTATCTGCCCCCAAATTGTTTATCCATTTTGTGCATTCTTGCGTTTTAATTGGATAAAAAATAATATATTTTCTTTAAAAAAAAATTAAAAATCACAAATTAAAAGAAATGTACAAAAAAATAAATAAATCCTGTGACACTTATCATTAAATTTAAAACACTTTTTTATTTTTTATTTTTTTTAATATTTTAACAAATGCCTTAGCATTTGTCTGCTGAATTACTTTCGGCCACCTCACGTGCATGCTTGTTTGGCTTAATTCAAAAAGTGTTGACAATTGGTCGTTTGAGGTATCTTTTTTTTTGTCTTTTTATTCCTAAAAATAATTTAATTTACACTTGTTTTGTTTTTGTTGTTTTTTGTTATTGTCAAAAAAGTTTAATATGAAAAAAGAATTCAAAAAAAAAATTAATAAATATTTTTTTGATAACGATATATCTGGGTCAATGGTAATTAAACTGTGCATAATTCATATATGCATTACGTTATGTGGTGCTGAGAGGGCATATTCATTTTTTATGTTCAAAAAAAAAATTCCGTTAATTTTCTTTTTCTTTCATACTAATGCAAAAACATAATTTTACCTAAACAAACAAAATAAAAATTATATTCGTCTATTTTTTATTTTTTATTTCAAGGTGTTCGGGTGGAATTCAAATTTGATCCCTTGTTTCAATGCATATGATTCAAATGTACAATTTAAGATGAACTTGGTGAATTTAATTAGGGATTACTATTGACATATCAGAAACGGTGGTGCTACATGTATTAATTAATGTACCAACTAGTGTTATGTCATTATTACTGACCTCACCTATTATACAAATTACAAATATTCAAAATCTGTAAAATTATGCCACGTCATCTGTTAGTATACTAGTTAGTACATTAATTGATACATATATGATTATTCTATCAGAAACGGTGGTGCTACATGCATCAATTAGTGTACCAACTAGTATTATATCATTATTATTAACCTCACATATTCTATAAATTACAAATACCCAAAACTTCTAAAATTATATCACATCATCTGTTAGTATGCCATATGCATTAGAAATTCATAATCTGTATTTTTGCCTTGACATAATCTGTTAGTTTACTTATGTCCTACCATCTGTTACTATAAGATAATCTGTATTTTTGCTAGAAAGTTACCTTGACAACTATGCCATATGCATTAGAAATTTCGAAAAAGAAACTGAATTCAAGCACAGCAAACTCTGTCACTAATTCAAAATGATACATCA